GCAATTTTGTTAGAGAATTTTAATTTAATATATTAATTTAATTATTATTAATTAATCTTTAATAGTCATATTTAATATCTGGAAATATTTAAAATTTAGCTCATGATTAGAATATATATAGAATATTTCTTCATAGTAAAGTCAAAAATTTCTGACATAAAGATGTAAAAAAAAAATAATAAAACGTTATAGCAATCACATTTTCTTATACATTCGCTTTTCATTTCATACATTTCTTTAACGATAAATTATTTTTTTATATTACTAAAAATATTCTAAAATTCTGCCTTTAAAATGATTTAACACTGAATAAAAATTTGTCAATGATGAAGAATATTCTGAATAAAAAATATTCTTCATCACTGAAAAAAAAAATTTTTTTTCCATGCAAATTGAATTTTAATATTGAGAAATTAATTTTTTGTTTTCAAGAGTATACAATTAAGAGTCTTTATTTTATAATTCTATAATTATGAGAGAATTTTTTGCATTAATTATTAGAACATGATAATAAATAAAAATAGCGTAAAAAATAAATATAAACAAATAATAATTTAAATTTGTTACATGAACTCTTTCTTGAATGTATTGTTATAAGAATTGGAAATTTTAGAATAACTTTAGCAAAACCAATTAAAAAATAATATTTATATAATCAAAGCGTTTTAATTAAGATTTAAATATTAAAAATTCCAACAGTTTTTTAATAAATGATTTCATCCATAGTATTCACAATTGTAGATTAATATTCACAGTTCATTGCTTCAAAATCGTCTTAAATAATGTCTTAAAATACTAATACTATTCTACGATTGGTTCGTTACATCTTAAGACTGCAGTATTTAAGACAGTATTTAAGACAATATTTAAGACAGTTTTAAACATAAAAAAGTACTGCTGAAATTGGTTCTGGTAATTGTGAGAGAAATAAAAAAACAGCGTTATTTCATTATACCATTTATTCCTATTATTTCTGAAAACATAAAGAAACTTTTTAAAGACGAATTTCTTGATACAGAGCATACAGGGACATTAATAAATTTAATAAACTTATAAAAATTCAAGAATACTCTCCCTAGGTTATCTTATTCTGTAGTATATATAGGATTGACTTATCATTCTGTTAATCAGACAAGCAGATGTTTGAAAACACATATTAAATGAATATAAGAACCGCATTAATTGGGACACGATTTAATCCATAATTATGAAACATAGGTTAAAATCTACACACGATTTTGATTGCGATAACATAAAAATTTTAGATAAAGAGAAAGTTGTTTTGTTTAAAAGATTGATCTCAGAGATGATTCATATACAAAAACAGAAATATGACTTAAATTTACAAAACGATATTTTATCTCTGGATCTGATATATGAACATATTCGCAAAATCTTAATATTTTCCTTTATTTTTTATTGTTTATTAAATTGATTTAAATATACATCACAATTGATTTGGTTTACGTTTATAATCGAAATATCAGCACCATTATTTTTTTATATTCGTTCTTAATTTCTTTTAAATTTGATATTTTATATATGTTTGAATAAATATATTTTATTGGTATAATACAATAAAGTAGTAGACAGTTTGATGAACACTTGCGATTAAAAAAATTTTATTCTGACCAACCTTTTAATTCATATAAGTGCGCATTTTTGTTATAACATAGTTTTTCATAAAGACAAATTTTAATTTGATCACGATCGTTTATTTAATTTGTGGAATTTAATTGACATAAATTGACCAAATATAGCCATAATAATTATTCTTGACCAGCTTATTCTGCAGCATAGGATCATTAACTCATTGAATACTAATATTATAATATTATTGAGACTAATTTAATAGTTGCGTTGTCTTATCTGCGAATATAATATTTTTAAGATAAGATATTTATTATGCTGAAGAAGATCCAAAACAGGATCCAAAACAGGAATTCATTTTAATAAAAATTATTTTACGTTAATAACTTGTGTTGGCTTTAAGGACATTTTACTTTATTGATTTATTCACACATATAGAGCTATTACACATATAAAGCTTGAATTAGGTATTTATTAAATACAAAAATAAACTATACAAATATCAGCCATATCTTATTTTATCTTATTCTTATTTTAAAACTGTCTTAAGAAATGTCTTAAGATGCTAATACAACTCTTTGATTATGTCTCAAAATTGTACTTAATATGATTTATGAATATCGGCTCTTAGATACCAGTATAAAGTGTGTGTAAATGAATAATAAATCTAGAATTGAGAAATAATATAGATACATCCCATACGCAGGTACATACATACATAATTACCTACAAAAACAACCCACGCAAATAATTTAGAGTTAATGTGTTTTTGACGTTCTTACGGAATTTACGGAAGCTTTCGGATCGTGTTTACAGAAATTTAAATTTGGATTTTTGCTGTTTTGTTGTATACACAGACGGAAGTCGAGGACACGAGTGGCGATGGTGCATGCGACAGCGGCATCGGCGGTCCCAACCTCGCTTGTCCTGAGAGTACCAGCGGGCTGGTTGTCGGCCCGGAAACATCGCCGAGAGTAATGGAGTGCGGTGGATGCGGCGAGCGAGTACGCGAACGAACTATCCTCTGCGTAGGCGGACGTACGTGGCACTCCAGGTGTCTGAGGTGTAGTGCTTGTGCCAGGCCATTGCACGATCAGCACTCGTGCTTTCAGAGAGGCATGCGAGTGTACTGCAGACATGATTACGATCGGTAAGTCGACCATCGATTGGTACTTTCACCTGAAATAATACTCGCGTTACTTTTTTGGTTGCGCGATTTGATTGGACAATTAAATCGGCTCAACGAGTTATACGTGTCAACAGAAAGAGAACGAGGCGGATAGAGAGAGAGAGAGAGAGAGAGAGAGAGAGAGAGAGAGAGAGAGAGATGGAGGGAGAAAATAGCCGCTTCTTTTTGTTCGCATCGCTGAATGAATAAGTGGAATATTTTTGTTGCCGCGCGATGCGCATCGATAGCGATGTAAGACGTACGGTCGTGGAGATCAAAGTCGACGGAACCTGCGGTGACTCGTCGATTGTACGGAAGGCTTCGGGCGCAGCCTGCCCAATGTGTTTATCCAACTGTCAATCAGTTACTTCAGTCACCTGGGTCTCTTGCACCAACCGAGCTCCGACATGAGCCTGTCCTGATATCCGATCGCTGCGCGCCGCATCTGGCGATGGCGAACGTCTGACGTTTGATTTCATATTAAATTCATACACGCGTTATCGCGCAGCAAGAGTACCTCTGCGAATTAAGCGGGGGAACAAATCGCGCGCTCGTCGAATTAAATTAATTTTCGTTCTCGCCTGCGCGAATTGAATACGGTATCCTCGTTAATTACTGCATAAGAGCGGTCCCGAGTTTTCGACGCTGGCTAACTCGGGCGAGCCGCTCGGGTCCGACAGTATGCGGGAGGTCCGAAGGAATCTGCCGCGTAATTTTTTTGATTCGTGCTTTCTGCCTGGTAACGCTGCCATTCGATGACCCGATCATCGGCGGGATCCCGACGCGACCCGTGGACCCGTAGACCCGTCGACAATCGCCGCCGACAACCGCCTCCGAGAGAACCGTCCCGTCTCCTTTCGCGCGATAATGGACAAAACGGCAAGAAAGAAAAAAGAAAAATACAAGCAAGCGGGATCTTCAGAGTAAAGTATCGGACGTAAGTTTCACTTCGCCTTCGCGTCTATCTCCCATCTCGCATCGACATTGTAGTTCCCTTTCATGGAAAGAACGATTTTGCTGGAGTATCTAAAAATTTAGTTAGATGTATCATACAGATTTGAAAATAATTTTGTTGGATCATTAAAACAATGTAGGATGATGAGTAATGCTATAGAAAGTTTAATCTCTCTCAATATTTATTCTTGCTAACACTATTTTTCTTCGCTGTTGAAGAATCAGTTTTGTTTTAATAATTTTTAATCATGGATTTTATTTTTATTTCATGAATATATTTGAGAGAGAAATGTTATTGTTTAAATTATTTTTAAAACTTTCCATTTGTTTTGCGTTCTGCAAACTGCAGCGTCTTTATTCTTCAAATTTAATCTTTTTTTATTATCTTTATTTAATATTTTACAACTAACTTTATTGTTTTTATTGTTCAACATTGTAACAATCAGTTTAAATATTCTACATAATTATTTTGATGGTTCAATAAAATTATTTTTATTTGTTTATGAGGACAATTTGAAAACTTCATAGCCTAATTATATTATATTTAATAATATATTTGAAATAAATAATATATTTGAAATATTGGCACACGATAAAAAGTTTGTCTTATATATATATAATTTTAAAGTTTGAACTTGTTCTATTAAGTAGTTTGTAAAAGTTAGTTTATATAAATATGATATGTAAATGTCCATAGTAAAATCATAATATCAAACATCGTGTCACGATTAAATTTTTTTAAGACTTAAACACCATAGAAATATTTAAAGGCTATCGACAATTTCTGTAAAGCCTCGTCTACAATAGTCGCAGAGGTTGTGAAAATTTGCCGCAAAAGTGTCGCTAAATGAGCATCTACAATATATCACAACAATTGTTTGTACGCAATTCCACAACAAATTTTAAACGTCAACTTGCTGTGTTGTGATTGGCTGAACTCATGCGCTCATACGTCTGTCGCAGTCGCAAAAAGTTGAAGTTGGCTCAACTTCATATGATAAGAGTTCTTGCGACTATAATAATCATGCAACTATGTGCGACACTTCTGCGACATTTCATACGAAATGCGACACAGCTCGTACGACTATTGTAGACGAGTCTTAACAGTAACCTTAATAAGTGAACTTAAGCCGATAAGTTAATCAGGATACTATTTTAAATCTACATAATCTAAATAGAAATAGCAATAAACTTATACATCCATAAGGCGAGTTTCAATCGGCTGAAATTCGTCTTTTTGCGAGGTTATGGATAAGTTTACTATTATTTCTATTTCTGTTAGATTATGTAGACCTAAAGCAAAATCCTGATTGGCTCATCGACTTAAGTTTACATCTTACGATCTGTAAGAACTGTTGCGGAATTTTGGCGGCAGCCCTAAGGAGATGAAAATTTTCTGCGTGCGTGCGTGCGTGCGTGCGTGCGTGCGTGCGTGCGTGCGTGCGAGTTAGACATTAAACTGATACGCGTATTTTAAATAAACTTTTATCTCAGAATAATTGCGCCCCGATTATACTTTCAAACTTTCAACATAATCAATCCGAAATATTAAGCCTCCCAAATTTAATTAGAATGTTAATTTGACTGTTAATTACTAGTTAATTTAATCATTAATTACTACTAATATCTTAAAAATTATAAAAAACTCATTGCGAAAAATATTATCTCAGCCGAAATTAAAACTTGAATCTCTTATATTCTATGCAGGGATCACCGTTTGACTGGAGCTTTAGGAATACTAAAATTGTATAACTTCATTGTTAAGTCGCGAAGTTTTCAAATTGCTTTTGTAGCTAAATTATTATAGATACTTCAACAAAACTTCCTTCCGTTACGTATATGCTCTCTTCAAAAATTGGCGCTCTGTGTGACATACCGTGTGTCGTAATCGCGGACAAGAGTCGCTCAAAATTCAAATCCTTCTCTAGCTTCCGACGTGGGCGTGACGGGAGATCACCTTTAGCGTCAGGACAAGGAATTAGCTACCTCTCTTAAAAGGACAATGAGATTAAAGCGCGTGTATCGGCAGATCAGAAAAGTTTAATCTCGCCAGACGTTACGCGATAGAATCTACATGGCGTTTCTAACTCTCTTTGTTCTCTATCTGCATTCAAAAAATAAACGTATAAGATTTCAAGCAGCAGGCATGGTGGAGGCGCGATGGAAGACACACGTGCCTCTTTCGATAAGCTTAAAGTGAATAAAGCTATTTCTTCGATGCGTGCGGAAGTGCATTATCCTACTGCGATTCAGAGCGAGAGATTTTTCGACAACATCCACAGGATGCGGTAGCGAGGGGGAGGGTGATGACCACCGGGATAGTCGCGTGGCAACCCATAAGGTATTCGAAGCGCGCCAATGTACGCCGCAGGCATTCGCAAACACAATCCACATAAATGCACAGTACGAGGGGAGGGGGAAGAACGAACGGGCGGGGTATCGAATCGGATGCACTTTCCGTGTTCATGAATATGATAATGGGCTAATGGGCCGTCTGGTCGTTGTTTAATTATCGACCGCGACACTCCCGGCGACACGGGTCGGCTGCTGTACCAGAACTACAGCCCACTACGGGTACCACGCAAGAAAGGAATGAGAATCCTCTCGTTGAGTATCCTCACGGTCGCATCCTACGGTAAACGCGAGCCCTCATCCGCGCCCCATTCATCCGATCGTGTCTCCACGGCCATGGTACACGACTACCGTTTACGACGTCCGTTACGACGGCCCTATCGCACGAACGCGCGCATTTATATTGCGCTGGTATTATTAGAATCGATCCGATTTACATGCAAGTATGCGATACACTTTATTAGAGATCGCGGCGCGCAACTCCGCCGCGAGGATCTCGACGATGCGGTGTACAGACCGCAACCTGTATAATTCCGACTAATTAATGCATGAGGGCTATTGTATAATTCTTCGATCGTTTTCTCGCGCGCGCGCACAACTGGGGGTTAATTAAAACGCAAGAGCTTCGAATTACGAGCATGCCGGTATGCGCGGATATTGACCGGAAGGCGCGAAGGTGTATCTCGGAGAGAACGATACTTTGCGTCGCGCGATATATACTTCTCTCGCAGATCCTTCCCAAAGCTCGTGAGAGAGAAGAACGAAGAGCGAGCAGTCGAAGAAATAAACGGCCGCGAAACACGCGCCGATGGAGACCACTTGCTCCTCGACACGAATATCTCTTCTCTAAAGTCTCTTTTCTTTCTCTTCTCTCGAGCTACCGCCCGTCGATCTTCGTTTCTTCTTCTTCTTCTTCACCATCCGAGATATATTCGAGCGGTATCATTACACCCCTCGTGTACTCGTCGAGCGTCGAGCGTTGAGCGAGTCCGGCTATATTGGCTGTCGTTATAATGTATATCGCAAAATAAATCCGAGACACACCACGATACGTATACTAATACTTATAAATGATATACGCCTGGCGGCAGTTTACACGACTACCAGTTAACACGAGTACGAATTATGCTTCTCGTGTTTTGCAGAACTTTTGGAGCAAAGTGCGCGAAATGCGGGCGCAGCGTAGGCGCTGGAGATTGGGTGAGAAGGGCTAGGGAAAGGGTTTATCATCTGGCCTGCTTCGCATGCGACGCTTGCTCGCGTCAGCTGTCGACCGGTGAGCAATTCGCCCTCCTGGACGCCCGATTGCTTTGCAAGGCGCACTATCTCGACGTCGTCGAGGGCAACAACACTTCTTCCGATGGTGAGAATATCGCACAAACAAGTCATTGTTACACGCGCGAAGACGTAGTTAACGTAAAATAAATATTGAAAACATCCGATTTCAAAAATATATGTGAAGAACATAAAATCTTCTAATTGTTGCGAGTAAAAATAACGCCCTTTGTTAAATTTATTCTTTAACGTCATCAAGTAATCTTCTTCAAGTATTTATTGTAACAATTAAATTAATTTGATTAATCCTAGAATACTATCGATATTGAATGATACAGTATTAATAACACAAGATTTTAGTACATTTCAATAACGAAATATTTATAATCTAAATCTTTGCAAATTAAATAATTTTACTGAATCCTTTGTGAACTCTTTGAAGTCATTCTCTTTTATTTTATAAACTATTTGTTCAATTTTTATAAAAATTATTTCCTCGTTTTCTTTTAATTTTAATTTTAATTTTAGAATTCTGAGATCAGAATTGAATTCAACAATCCCGAAAATCTTTAGAAAATAAGATCTTCCATAAGTTATTTTAGAAAACTCCATCAAAAAGTTAAAAGAAAAAAAAAATATCAAATTCTCAATCTTGTTAATTATTGAAGGCATAATTCAACTCCCTGTGATCTTGCTCATTTACATATCAAATTTACGATAGCATTCTATTCTATTTTTAAAATTTATATTTAAAATTTATCTATATTTAAAATTTCCTGATTAACAATATACTGTTCGTGATCCTTTATTTTGCTGTATAAAATGCACACCGATTGAGATAGATCGCGTAATGGTGTGGAAGGTAGGTACGGCTAATTGGTACTTTCGCAGAAGGCGGTGACTCCGAGAGTGGTCACAAGGGCGGCAATAAAGCGAAGAGAGTTAGGACCACTTTTACCGAGGAGCAGCTTTCCGTTCTCCAAGCGAATTTTCAATTGGATAGTAATCCCGATGGGCAGGACCTTGAAAGGATAGCGCATGTAACTGGACTCAGCAAGAGGGTAACGCAGGTGTGGTTCCAAAATTCTAGAGCAAGGCAGAAGAAACATCTTCACACAGGCAAAATGAAGGGACAACACGGTAAGCGAAACATCGAGTCATTCCATTAATTTGCTTATATAGCTTGAAATTCCCAAAAATTGTTGCGCTTAATGCGAGACAAATATATATTCCGATTTTAGAGAAAGAAAAAATAAAGATTCCGAATGTAACGAGTGCAAGCAGCACGACCTCTATTTCCATAAAAATTCGCGCGTGTCATCGCGATTATATGCAATCGATAGATAATAATTTTAATTATCAACATCGGTGGAATGAATTTTTGCAGTGCATCAATCGCCACCGAATTCTACCGCGTCGCCCGATTTCGGTCGTCACATCAACTTACATCTAACATACTCGTTTCAACATCAGCAACAGCATCAACAGCAACAACAACCACAGCTTAGTCCAGCCACGTGTAAGAGCCCGACAGGCTCCATTTATCACAATCATGGTAAGAGATCGTTCGCAATATCACTGCGTGTCGGGGAATTTCATGAAAGATTCTTACTGCGATCAAAGACTTCAGATTGGGAAAATTCGACGATCAATTAGAGGTTGGACAGGATCGTACATTTACATGTAATTGCGATTCCATTAACTCTGTTCTCAGGGTCGGAGCAATCGATGGACGAGCTCTCGCAAGACTCGATGCTACTATCTATGCCGAATGAGGTTTAATGGCGATTTCAATTATATTGTAAATATTCGGCGTTGCTTCGAAAAAGCGTCAGAAGGTAGAGATCGAGGAAACATCATTGAATGCATCGTTTTATTTATCCTCAAGAAAAGTGAAAAATTCACCCGTCGCGCTCTTCGATGACGCACTTTCGAGTTACGCTCGCAACATAAATCTTGCGTTCTCGATGTTGAATCTTACTGGAACCAATATTGTTCCGTATTACATGCGAAAAGATATGTACGTGCGCATGCGTGAATTCGCGCGTGCGTGCGTGCGTGCGTGCTTGTGTGTGTGTGTGTGTGTGTGTGTGCGCGCGCGCGTGTGCGTGTGTGTGTGTGTGTGTGTGTGTGTGTGTGTGTGTGTGTTATGTGCATGTATGTGCGTGTGCGTGCGTATGCGTGTGTAACTTTGTCTGCAATTTTGAATCGATCTGTCTGCCTATCTCTTTCTTGGTTGTGTATGAATTGTGATTTTGTACTCGTTCTTTCTCCTTCGTCTCTCTATTCTTTCTTTCGTATCGATACCTGATGCAACCAAGAAGGAATCGCTTTAACGAAGCCTTTAAAGCGAACATAGGCATAAAAGAGAGGCGGATACGTAGGACACCTATTATGAATCTATTTGGAAATGATTCCGTTCGGAATGATTCCGTTTCTCGTCATTTGATTTGTTACATAGACATTCGAATTGTATCCAAAATGATCGAAAAATTTTTAATTTTGAACATGTTATTTTGAAAAAATTTATTAAAAATTTATTAACTCTTAATGTTAAATATATATAATTTTTATTATATTAAAGTGACAGACTCATCTTCAGCATGTTGCAGATTAAGTTATTATATTATGTAATTAATATTATATTATTAATATGTATTAATAAATAATATATAATATTACTTAATGTAAATAAATAATATATATTAAGTAATATTATTATTAGCATGTTTAACAAAATTGTATGATGAAAATTAACTTGTTTACGTAATTTATTTACGTAAGAATTATTATATTTAAGATTGAAGATTGACATAATTATTTTACTTTATTATTACTCGTTATAATTTTATTTTTTTACATATTTTTGTATTATCCTTTTTATTATAAAATTAGAAAATAAATATTTTTTTACTTACATTATTTACCATTCTATCACTATGACGCTTAACATTTTTTTTTAAATTCGCGAGTCTAAAACTTATTCTGATCGGAATCGCGAACAGTTACATAATAAGTGCCCTGAACGTCATCGTCGTCGCGTCGTCGACGGAATTTCATTCGCGTCGCGTAACAATGCTTGAAATGAAAGTATCTTTCATAGTAATCTCAATAGTCATGTAAAATCATTCAATATGAATGTCCTGTGATGTAAATATTGTAAACTAAACGTACATAAATATATGCGATTGCACACGTTGAACAAAAGGATGGCCTTTGTTTCTTGATCAATCCAACTTATCCAACTATCTCCCTCCAGATATTTCCCGTGCGACATTCTTTTGAATTATCTGCGGTATTTGTAATCGGAGAAGTGGGTAATAATTAAAGGATAATAATTGCAACAATTAACAATAAAAGGCATTTTATTAATAACAATATGATTTATTTTATAATATTGCAGCGACAAATATGCGATAAGTTCTGGTCTTCATCACGCTTCTCTCTCTCTCTCTCTCTCTCTCTCTCTCTCTCTCTCTCTCTCTCTCTCTCTCTCTCTCGCGCGCGCGCGCGCGCACACACACCACACATACACACACACGCACGCACGCATGCACACACACACACACACAAAACAATATTCTTATATCTACAGAAGACATATGTACAAAAACTACAATTCGCTCTATATACAATTTCGTGTTATGAGTTAAACGATATCTACGTCAAAATTTCGAAAAATGGACGAGACATTCTAGTCACTCCTCCTCCATTTTGCATCGTCTAAGAGATTTTATTCACAATCGCAAACGGATGCAAATTGTTTTACACGCTCGGAATAAATAAGCTTAATCTAATTTTAAATACGAAAAACTTGTACCTTTTATACGTATTACATATTATATTAACGATAACGCGCGCTTATTTTACATCTTGAGAAATATATACAGATTAATTCGCCTTAAGAACTCATATGTAATTATTAATTGAAATTAGTCTGCTCGTTATACACTTTTAATCTAATTTTTTGTGCGGAATATAAGAAAAAAATGAATATGGCAACTTTCGATTTTGTAAAACCTTGTTACGATTTTTTGTATAAATCTCCGAATTATTTAATCATGGAAACACATGCAGTGCGAAAGGTTAATACCAATAGCTTCGTGAAAACATTTATATTGACTTATCCTGCGGGATGACAGAATTGAGCCTGCAAATGATTCGGCGTCGTCGGTGTGAGCGGAGTCAAAGGTGTAAGGGGCGTTAACGGGCTACCTGGACTCTCGCTACCGGCATTGCTGGCCTGATAACCACCAAGATAAGCGCCGACCACGTTGATGCCACTGGGATACAGGTCGACTGGGTGATGGTGCATCGGTGGCGAATGATGCACTGTAAGCACACGAAAATAAGCGTTTTGAATCCTCGAGGGATACTATCCGTAATGCGAGTTATGTAAAAACTTTATACAACGAGTACTTTAAGGCTCTAGTAGTATCATTATCAAATCAATGATTAATTTAACTTGTGATATTATTATTACAACTTTAGTTTGTGATTGTGTTTTCAGTTTAACAATAATCGGCGCGCAATTTATATAATTGAAAGATATGTTTAAAATTTATATAGAAATATTATTATTATTATTAGAGACTAATATCTTGACGTATTTGGCGCTTTCTTCTTTTATACTAAAATCTCATAATAGCGCGCGCTCGGAACATATTAGTATTGGCTGCATTCAGCAATGAAAACAACTTTACTAATATTAATTTTCTTGTTGTTAAAATTGTTTAATATGGTAAGTCTTACCCTTAGTTTCTTACTGAATCAAAATATATCAAAACCAATCATATTAAAAAATTATATAATAGTTCTGCTTTCTCTAAACTCTAAATACATCTAATAAAATTGTCTTTACTTCATTTTTAAAATACAGAACCCTATTCTATCGCTAATCTCTGTTCACACTCAGAGCTGCCAAAGTAAATTTTTCACACGTTTGGAATGATCAACACGCGGAGGGATCTGATTATAACTAAATTTAAATAATAATAAATTTATATATTATAGATATTTAATAATAATAAATATGTAAATAAAAATAAATCAAGTATACATATGTATTTCATTTTTCTTTAATTATTTATTTATTACGAATGTAGTAGCCTCGTCAAATATTATTTTTATTTATAAATTCATTCGTATACTCTTATAAATCTATCATTCTAGTCTATTTCTTAAAAAAATTAAATACGATAACTATTATAATACTATTCAAATGATTTTGAAACATTAACAAATGTACATGTCTGTTTCCATCAAATGTGATCCTTTGCTACATTTGATTGGTTACCTAGGAAAGGAAATTTTGCCAAGAGCCAATCAATATTGTTCATTGAGCTAATAAAATATCCTATAATTTGCTTGTTAAAAATTTATACTAGATGTAGCTTGACATGTGAAAGTATAACACATGTCAAATTCACATGTGTAGAGAGAGACTCCATCATTCCACAGATCGCTAACTTATGCTCATATTAACATGCGTTTAACGCATATAAAAAAAATTTTGCACTATTTCGCTATTATTATGTTCTGTATATTCATATAGCGGTCTTGTTTAATTTATTATTACTTACTCTGAGTCTTGATCTTGCCGCTGTGCTTCTTCTGTCTCGCCCTAGAATTCTGAAACCAAACTTGCGTGACCCTCTTGCTGAGGCCGGTCACCTGGGCTATCCTCTCAAGGTCTTGTCCGTCGGGGTTGCTATCCATCTGAAAGTTAGCCTGCAGGACTGCAAGCTGCTCCTCGGTAAAGGTTGTCCTCACGCGTTTCGTCTTGCTACCTTTGCCACCGTGCTCGGAATCGCAATCCTCCGATGACGAAGTATTGTTACCCTCGACCACATCCAAATAATGGGCCTTGCACAGCAGTCGGGCGTCCAGAAGCGCGAATTGCTCACCCGTGGAAAGTTGACGGGAACAGGCATCACAGGCGAAACATGCCAAGTGATAGACTCGGTCTTTAGCTCTCCTCACCCAATCCCCAGCGCCCACACTGCGCCCGCATTTCGCGCATTTCGCGCCGAATGTTCTGCAAAAAACGCAAACAGTAGGGATTTCTCCCATGTGAAAGCCGCACGTGACGAAGTCGCCATCAACTTTCAAACGTGCGCGAGTGTTAAAAAAGTTAATCGACGTAATCAATAACAAAGGAAGTCGGCTCGATCGATCGACGTACTGCCCATTTATCACCCACTTTACTGTCATTCATCGTTTATTGATTCATGCGAGTCTCTCTTTTTTGGCGCGCGGCTACGAATGGACTCGACAATAAACGCGGTTCTCTTGCAATGCATATCGAATTCAGTCGTGCGGACACCGACCGAAAAAACTATTTTTATCCCGTCGACGGCAGGTTCATTCGAGACCTCCGAGAACGCGAGGACCCGGCAGCAATCCTGTCCTCATTAACATACTACTCAACCATTCGGTGTCCTCCCGCGATGCGACGAGGCATCGGAGCCACCTCGGTTTAAGGATCAGTATCGCGATTCGAGGAGTAGATTACGTCGAGATTATTTCGATGTCTCAGTTGTGCGGCTTCCGACTCTATACAAATGGCTCGATTTCTTTGAATACATGCCGACGAGATGTGAGAACAGAATCTAGTGCTAAAAAAGAACTCGAGAAAAGAGATCGAAGAAAGATAAAAAAATTATTATTATTACTGGGACAATGATAGAGCAGCGCGAAGAAAACTAAAACATGAAATTCAGCAGAGGTTATGCCATGCATACGGGAGCATATGCAAAAGAAGAAAAGAAGAAGGAACGGAA